CCCCAAAACCCCAAAACCCCAAAACCCCAAAACCCCTTAAACAAGTATCGAGCTTGAATGGTCCCATCTTCTTAGCAAACTTGTTAAGATCCTCAGTGTCTTCTTCACGATGGATAATAGTACTTCTATAAAGATAAAGTTGGTAATTGAAGGATGAGCATTAACATATTAGCATTCACCCCTTATCAAGGTTGTCGAGATGTTCAACAGTGATCCTAAACTTCATAAACTGTATATTTGATCATCTGTTGCAAGCCATTAAGATCCTCTCAAAGTGCTTGTGCAATATAATGAGTTAGTCCATAGATTTATCGTACCTTGAAAAGGTGATATTCATTAGCTCAACTGCCTTAGAGATGACCTTCATAGCACTTCTGGTAAAAAAGCTGAAGTGTACTAAACCTTGTAGCTTGAAAAGTTATATTTAATTAAGAAATTTTACAAGCATGAAGTCTGTCTAACCAAGTTGGAATTACGATCCAAAAGTGTGGTTGATATCTCAGTTGGATAAACCCATGACCATGAGTTCTGAAATATTATTATGTTCTATTCGATCCTTCTCACTTTTGGTCGACCAATTATGACACAAGATGTACGAGCAATATTGAAACGTGCCTGTACAAGCCAATCTTACCTTGTAAATAGAGTTAAGGGATCTTGAAGACTTTGTGTGCACTTAGAAATTCAGTACAGAGGTTTACAACTCTATAGTCATTTTCTCCCGTCTTGACGTTTTCTGGAATGATAAATTGGATATATGGTTTGTCTGGATTCTCTTCTTAGTGTCTTTTTTTGAGCTATATTTGTTCACGAGGGATGTAAAATTCAGTCTTTAAGCCATTCTCCATTGTACCATTAATGCATCTTTCGGAGTACTGGCAATTTATAGCACGTAAAGTATATACATCTAGCTTTTCTAATTGAGTCTATGTAGCATACTCTTTAGAATCTTCCTCTTGATTCTTGTTGTATTTACAAATTGAGTTTTACTTCCTCATCTTTAATAGTATTCTATTTAGATGACAAGGACTGGGGTTTTGGGGTTTTGGGGTTTTGGGG